AGAATTAATATCTTTCTTGCCTTTTCTAAATCCATCCGGCTGTAGCTTTATTCTACTTACCTTTTTTTTTCTTTCTAAATTAATATATTAACATATGGACTTATCTATATATATAAAGGATTTTTGTAGACATGTCACTTGAACTTATATCTCAGTTTCAATTTGTCAACTTAAATAAAAATTTAAGAGAAATGTCACCTTAATTTTTCAAAATTCATGATTTGTCATTTGACTTTAACACCATCCCATTTTCCATCAATTTTAAGGGTATTTTAGTCTTTTCCATTTTCAAGGGTATTTTAAAAATGGAAAAATCATTATAAAAAAAATTTATACATGGTTAGAGAGAGAGAGAGAAGAGGGGGAGCGGGGGTCTGTGCGATGTGTTTTGGGGGCGGGTAGGGGAGAAAGGGAGAGAAAGGTCACTTTTTTCTTTATTTTTTTTTCTTGAAAATGAAAAGACTAAAATAACCTTAAAATTGATGGAAAATTGGATGGTGTTAAAGTCAGATGACAAATCATGGATTTTGAAAAATTAAGGTGACATTTCTCTTAATTTTTTCTTTAAGGTGACAAATTGAAACTGAGGTATAAGTTCAGGTGACATTTCGACAATTATCCCTATATATAAAGCAAAAGGCAGAGAATGGTGAAACATTCAAAATACCAGAAAATGCCCTTGGTTAATTCAAAAATTAAGAATTGAAATTATTAATTAAATGAGGATAATATGGTAAATTCACATTTTTTTTATATTAAAAAAATTAAAATTAAAAATGAAATCAGATAATAATTACCCATGTTATCTTTTCTTAATACTAAAAAAATAATAATAAAAAAAACCAATTGGCACATGCGTGAGGAGCTAGTATATATATATATTGTATAGTACAACCCAAATTTCTACCCTTACCAGATAATCTCCATCAATTTTAAGAATTCTCTTCATCTTTCGACTGCAAAGTAAGCCATTTTATTTTTCTCTCTAATTCTTCGCAACTATAATTTGAAGGTTTGTATAATTTTTTTTCAATTTACAGCAGCCCAAGCCCATTCATCAGGCTGCTAGAACAAAAGGACCCCTACAGTATGCAACCATGTAAGAAAGTTCATGAGCATATGAAAAAAGAGTGTGCCACAACTTTGAAAACTTTTCAACTTCAAAAAAGAAAGAAAAATGAAATACTTAGAGAGATTAGGGATGATCCATGAGGAGGGGCTCAGAGTATGGAAATTTCATTGGATGAAAAATATGGAATCCCCGATACTAGGAGTGTTGCAGTTGATGAGGCTCTTAGAGCACAACCTAAATCAAAAGGACCAATGGATAGATTTATCACTTTAGAAACTCGGTAAAGTACATTAAATTCAGCATACAAACAAGAAGAAAGAAAGGAAGTTTGTCGAAAGATTGGTCGTTTTTTCTTTTTTGGAGCACTCTCATTTAATATTGTAAATGATCCATTTTGTCTACCTATGGTGGAAGGGATTGCTATATATGGTGTAGGATTTAAGCCTCCATCAATACATGAGCTGATGACTTGGATCCTTAAGGAAGAAGTTGGATGCTTCATGTAGGGAAATATTGTTAGACGACGACACTAAAGCTAACACCCATCTCAATCATCCCATAATTTCCCCTTTTGTTAGTCAACTTGTCTAACTCCCTGTCGCCAGTCCCGAATCACCCAATAAAAACCATGTGCACTGTGGGAGCAACTTCCCAGTGGGTCACCCATCCTGGGATTGCTCTAGCCCCCAACTCGCTTAACTTCGGAGTTCCTATGACTCCGAAGCCAGTGAGCTCCCAAAAGGCCTCGTGCTATATGGATGCCGGTGTGTACATATAAGGCACATCACTCACTCTCCGTTGGTTGATGTGGGATCTCACAATCCACCCCCCTTAAGGGCCCGACGTCCTCGTCAGCACACTCACACCACACGGCAGAGTGGCACATTCACCAAATTGTCACATCCCGGATCGGCTCCGCCGTAGCACGATATTGTCCGCTTTGGGCCCCCGCTCTCTGGCCCTCACGGTTTTGTTTCTGGGAGCTCACGACCAACTTCCCAGTGGGTCACCCATCCTGGGATTGCTCTAGCCCCCAACTCGCTTAACTTCGGAGTTCCTATGACTCCGAAGCCAATGAGCTCCTAAAAGGCCTCGTGCTATATGGATGCGGGTGTGTACATATAAGGCACATCACTCACTCTCCGTTGGTTGATGTGGAATCTCACACCCGGTGCGCGAGAAAATAAAATAAAATAAAATAAAGATAAATACAAAGAAAGCTAAAACATGGATTTGAAATAAACTTCTATTATAGAAATAGCTCCCAAAATTTTACAACTTTACAAGAAATAAATAAAACTCTAACACTCTCATCTAATTCAGCTTCAACCAATTTAGTCCTTGTCTTGCCCACTAATTCATCTGAAAAAAAAAATTAAACAAGGTGAGGGATGAGCAACCACCGCTCAGTAGGGACATGAGACCTTACCACAGTAGATTGAAATAATTAAATTAAGTGACATGCAATCACACAGCCAAATATCAAATTAATAATATTAATGCATGAACAAATGCTCTTCATCTAATCCCGTTAATTCATATAACTGGACAAGCAGACCTGTACGTCCCATACCATGCTTATACCACTTGGTCCCGAATGCCCATTTATATGAACTAACACCCATTTCAACCGTCCCATAATTCCCTTTTTGTTAGTCATCTTGTCTAACTCCTTTTCGCCAGTCCCGAATCACCCAATAAAAACCTTGTGCACTGTGGGATCCCTGAGACCTGATACCTGCCAAGAGTTAGACTCAACTACACAAAAGATCCTTCCCATTACCCTCTTTTCCATACTTTCTTTATCAACCCAAGAATTCCAGCCATCACCGATAACATATGATCATGTCAATATTAACTAAATAATTAACAACACGTAAACCACCAATATTAATAATAATCAAATAATAATATGATCTTGATATGTTGCTCACGAAATTTAATTAAATCAATCTCCGTAAAGGCTCTCCAAGAAATCCCTACCTCGATTCCAAAGCATTTTGCTCCAAGTTAAGAAAATACAAGCTAAGTCCTATATCTCCCGCAAGAAATTCATTACCTCTCTCTCCTCTCTTTTTCACATTGCATGTTTGTTAACATTGGACGCAGTGGTAAAACTTGCAAGCTTCCTATTTATATTGTAGTGAAGGCGGTAGCTACAGTACGTGTAAGAACTTAATCTCCAAGTAATTTGTCAATATGGCCTTGCACTCCAAGTTACAATAGATAAGAACATATTGCTAGGAAGACACGTTTTGGGTTGACAAGGCTACAAAAGGGACACGTTGTGGGTTGATCCTATTCTAGTTGCTTCACCAAAATTCTATTGCTAAGAATGCATGTGAAAGCTCCACATGCTAACTCCAAGCCATGGTTTGTTGACAAGGAAAAAGTAGCAAAACAACACATCCAATTAAGAGCTAGTTAATTGTTAATAAATAAATATATATAAAGATTGTTTGTACCATATCTGATCCTCCACTCATCCATTGACACGTGGATCGCTTAAACTCCCCAAATGCCCAAAGGCTCCGAACAATCGGCATCGGCTATCGATGATATTGTCTCAAAGCAGCAAAAGATCGCTACAGGCCCAACACAACTTACAATCGGTATCCCTTACCGATTCTGCAGAATCAACCTCGAAGCACCCGCCCGAAATATCTAAGGACTCATGTCAACCTCATAGAGCCCTCCCACGAGTCCCACATCGAAATTAAGTACTAAGAGCATACGAAATGCCCTCTATAAATAGGCCCCTCCACTACAATACAGGGGTAAGACTTTTCAGCTTGACTTTTATACTTTTATATGGTCAACAGCAAGAGCTCTTAGAAACAAACTTACTTTGGCATC